CATCTAAAGCATCCATCGCAAGGGCTATAATTAAGGAATTCTAATACAACAATAAAAAATTCAGAGAAAAACAAATCTCGGCCAGGTCTGCTTTGCAGCTCAATGTATATATGCATCCTCAGACTCAGTGGCCACCATGACACCTGGGCCTGTCCTTCTTTCTGTCCTCCCCATTCCCAGATCTCAGTCCCGCTGTGTTGTCTTATTCTTTTCATGATGGCTCCCTCTGTGTGGCAGCTCTCACTAATGGCCAACTCATGGTGGCAAGGGACTTGGTCTCCCTCTGGCTCCTCTCTCTCTCCCTCTCTGCCCCCCTCCCCCTCTAGCTTTAGAAGTAGAATTCTACCCCATGACTGCAAAGGTTCTTTTCTCCATGGTGATCCCAAGCCAAGATGATGCTTAACTTAGGACCATGGCATACAGGAACACGAGTTCATACCTCTGTATGCCACAGAAAGGCCAGCACTGTGTACTCCAACATTGTGGCCACATTCCTTCGAAATTAAAGGGGAACATCCAAGCTGTCTGGTTCACCAGGGTCAGTACCCAAGATTGCAGGAGGAAGCAACAGAGGGAAAGAGTTACCAAGTAAGAGGAAGGATATGGGGGCTAATAGGCCATGCTGGCATGCCCAGCAGAAGTATGAATGCAGGCTAAGATATAAAGACCAAAAAATGCAATTTCACAATATGGAAATCCAACTAGAAGGAAAGCTTTAGACTCAAAGATTCTGATACAAAGTCTTATGCTTGGAGGAGAGGTGTGGGAAAGCATCCCTGGTATATGTACTTTCTAGTTCCCTGCAGGAATATAGCAGTTCTCCTCTGTCATGGGAAATAGATTCTAAGAATTCCAGTGGATGGCCATGGACAGTAATGAACTGCATATACACAGTGGCATCTCCTTTCATGAATGCTTTTGTGTGCCAACAACAGGTTTGCAAACAAAAGTGTTTGGCAAAATTTTGTTTCTGTTTGCAAACACAATATCGAGTGACAAACACAACCATGGCCATCTTTCCTGCACAAACAGGTGTGGCCATTTTTTTTTTAATTTTATTTAAGGAGAAAAAAGAAAAAAAAAACAGAAAAAGGGTACAAGTTATACAGAATTTCAGAAAAAATAAACAGTAGGAAATCACTAGTTAATTACATATTGTCATCTTAGAAATAGTTGTTGAAGTTACAAAATTAAAGCATACAGAGAGGACCTTCAAACAGTGAGACTGCAAACAGTTTTGTTCAATGATCCAACAAAACACAGCAATATGGTTATCCATCCTACACACCCAAACATACATGCCGTTATATCCCCCAGAGAACTCTCCCCTCCCTTCTTCCACACAATGACAATTACACATCTTGAATTTCACTGCTCTCACAGTTGTTATTACTTTTTTTTGAAGAAAGTAAAACCAAATGTGACATACCAGGACAGAGTCAGTCAAATCAAAAGGATGGACATAATACATAATGTAAAAACAAAATACAAGGTGATCAACAATGGTTACCATAATGCCTCTTGTTATCTTAAAAAGAATTGCCTATATCATCAGTTATAATAAAATTGAACAAAACAGTAAAGAATAAGACCAATAAAACCAAAACATTGGAGACATTAGAGGACTTCGAAAAAAGATAATAGTCAACCAGAATGGGCGTCACAATGAATTTTATTGTCTTCATACTTGTTGCCTATACTTTCGAACTTGGTACTATCAAGCATAACAGAATAGAGGAAAATCAGTCAAAACAAGATAGTGAGAGCAATACAGAGTTTCAAATCAAGTTAATAGGAAAACAAAGTGGGTTACTATAATATATCGTGCTATTTTTTATTTATTCTTCCCTTAATTAAAAGGATAAAAATGAAAAAGTAGATAATAAAAAGGAGATTGAGATTTAAAAAAAAGAGGGCATAACAACAAAACAGCGCAGGTCAAAACACTGTGGAACAAAGTAAGTTCAGGGACCAAGGAACCACCGCACTATGGTTTTTGCTAGCAGCCCTGGAGCATGACCACAAAGAAGGAGAGTTATCTGTCCTTCTACGGTTTATCTTTGGTGTGATTCATCAAATAAAACAGGGCATACCTGAACACAAGAACTGCAAAACCACCAGTCTACTGATAGCTGAGAGGATTCCAACTAACTACAGATGGGAATTGGGGATAAATATTCCAGACAAAAGGGTGATTTCACACATGAGTGGGAGAATGCAGAATGTCATGAGATTTCATCATGCTACTTGGCAAAACAAGGAATTTGAAATATATGAACTGCTTATTAGAAGTTCCCAAATGTTTTCACACCACCACTGACCTCAGGCAACTGTACTGTGGAAGAGAAACCAGAGATAAGGAGGGAATTGTTATACCTGATGAGGGCTCGATTCCTGTCAACCATGCACGCTCTGAACAAGCATAGCAGATGCTTAATAATTATAATTAGCTAAGCAAATAAAGCAGTTCAAGACTAAATAAGGAAAATAAGAAAACAAAAATCAGCAAGTTAAGAAATGTTTTTAAGGCACAGATACCATACCATATACTCAGACCCCAACGGTATTGACTTAATTTCCAAGTTCCAAAGCAAATACTGACTGCATGCTAGTCACCAAGCCCCCAGCCTTGCCCCTGAGACGACAAAGACAAATATGGATGAATATGATGTTCATTCTTATATGCGGGAGCAGAATTTTTAACTAGTTGCGTTGAAATATGATTTGGGATTACAGAAAGGAGGAAGCGAGCTCTACACTTTTAGAGTTACATTATGAAGCAGTGCGTGCCCCAATGTGACTTACACATGGCAGGGGACTCACACCAGCAAGTAGGTATAAAAACAAGTAATGCCTTGGAGCTGGGAATTTAGCTCAGCGGCATAAGCGCTAGCCTGGAAAGCATGAGGTTGTGAGTTTGATCCCGGTACAAAGAAAAAAAAAGTAATGCCTTCATTACGCCTGAAGCCAGGAATTTGAAAGTTGTAGTGTTCCCCCAGTTGCACTGTGATCAAGTTTTCGTTTTTCCTGAACCAACCTGCTGACCAGGGTCCAAATGGAGGACTTAATGCTCAGTCAATGCCATCCCAGATTCCAAGTCTGCGCTTTTAGTCTCTACTCAAACTTTTGTTACCACCACATTTCATTAAACCAGACTGCTTTCTTAGCCCATTCAGGTTGCTGTAACAGGTACCACAGATTGAGCGTTCTATAAACAACAGAAATGCATTTCTCACATTTTAAGAGGCAGGAAGACCTAGATGAGGTCTCTTCCAGTTTGCATGTTGCTACTGAGAAGGTTAACTGTATGCGTACATAGCAGAAAGGGAGCTTTTGGGAGTCCCTGTTCTAAAAGCAGCAATCTCATTCATGAAGGATTCACCCTCATTTCTTACCTGCTGCCCAAAGCCCCTCCTCCCAACACTATAACATTGAATGTTAATTTTCATCATATGAATTTTAGAGGCATATAAACATTCAGAGGACAGCATACTGCAGGAGTAAGACCAGTGTCTCACAAGCTTTAAAGAGCACAGCAATACTCAAGGCTAGTGTTAAAATGGCAGATTTCTCATTCGGGAGGGAATTCATCTTATAAGCTTTCTGGAAGTTATTCTCATTGCACTCAATCACACAGAGGACAGCAGAAAGCCAAAGAACTAGTTTGTCGTTCTATAGTTCTTGATATTTACTTTGCCTTTCTTTCACTAAATTTTGATGGAAATAAACAACTGTACCTAACTATACCACACTCAGTAATTCAAAGTGTATTAGGGATCGGCTGTTTGGGCACATTATTTACATGAATTAAAAACAAATCTGTTTGTAAACAATTATACCAAGTACTCTTCCTTACAGAGGATGTTGTGGGTCACTGGTGACACTCAGAAAGACAAAGTCCAGGGGAGAAGCAATTCAGAGCACTCTCTCTCTCCTCTGTTCCCCTGATCCCACCCCCCCTCACCCCCGCACCCCAGACCCCCGCCCCAGCTAGCTACCTTCCGCGAGGTGCAAGCTCTGTGGTTAAATCAGGCGACCTGGTGGGCTTTCAATTACAAAACTGAAGTAACTCCACAAGAGAGAGAGATTGGAAAAAGAATTGTCAGACTCCTTTAATTCTGGAAAAGGATGCTGGCTTGCAGAATTCTTCAAGTCTCGACCACACACCCAATGGTGACATTGGGGGAGCCTGAACTCTCTATGGGGGCCCTCAAGGTGGCCTGGGTTTTACAATTTAGCGATAAATAGAACTGCATTGTTCCATTTTGCAGATAAGCTACCCAGGAAACAGATTACACACCTGCCCAAGGTCACAGTGCCTAAAAACTACAGAGAACGTGTAAATTGCAGGACTTCACAGTTTGGCATTTCCAAAAAAAACAACGCTTGGGGAAGAACACAAAACAATGCCTCGCCTCAAGGTAGCCCCAGGACTCCGCCCTAAACTTCACCGGCCTTTCCCCAAGGGCAAGAGGGCGGGAAGGGAGGAGAACCACTTCCAGGATACAGACCGGGCACCAGCAAGCACTTCCGGAGCAGAGGTGGTGAGGGTCGTTAAAGGTCAGCTGGTTTTCAGGCGATAGCCGACACGCACTTCGGGCTGAAAGGGCTTCAATGATTAAAAAGCAGCTGTGGTTAGCCAAACAGCGCGGCTCTTGAAGAAATAGACTTTTCTATGGCCTGCGCCCGAAAGCACAGCGGCCTACGCACCAAGTAGGCACAGCCATGTTGAGCACTGTATTTAAATACAAGAGGCGGGGCCGGGCTAAGCAAGGCGATGGTTCTATGACGTCACAAAGAAGTTGGGGCAGGAGAGGAAGCCGGACCTTCTTGGGCGGGCAGAGCGAGCAACTTCTGGCTCTAATAGGTAAGTCCATTTTGAATGACAGCCCTGTTCTCCCTTCTGGTTAGGGTTGGGGGTTGGGGGCGGGCCTATCAACACGGAAGTGTCTGAGACGGCATGGGTAGGATGAGGAGCGGGAGGGCGATTCAGGGTAGGCTGTGCTATGGAGACGACCGTGATGGCTGAAACCCTTGCCCGCGCTTATCCAGAGTGGCCTGACCACCTGGAAAGTAACTCCCCAAATCCCTTTTCCCCTCCTTCTTGCAGAAATGCAATATAAACCTTCCTGCTTATGTTGCAGCCGGCTGCACCCGATGCTGGCAGGCGTAGAACCTTAGCAATCAGCAGTGCCTAAATTGTCCTGAGCTTTCCCTGCATAAGGGACCTTGAGCCCCAAACAAACCCACAGGACCTCAGAGTGGGCTGCCTTTTGGCACCATTGATTTAATTCATGTGTGTGTACCACACCCACTCAGATGATGAGAAATATGTACAGTGTTTTTATGTTTAGATGTGTTGCAGCTATAGAATGGTGAAAGGGCGAATCTTGAAGCCTGCCTTTGCTTTCACCAGTCAGGATTTTGGATTTCTCTTGAGGTACTGGGCAGTGAAACAAGCTGTATTGTTGAGTAATAATAGTTTATGGGATCGTTGGTTGCGAGCGTGCTTCTATTGGAAGAAAATGAGGGAGAGAAGCAGGGACCTGTTTTTGAGATGGGCTATTCCTTAGGATTCAGTGCGATTTCTAGTAATTGTTCCTCTTCAGCCTGATGGCAGCCACTTCCTGCAAAAAGTCCCAACAAGGTCAAGAAAAAAAAAAAAAAGTAATTACTGGATTGATACATATTTCTCGCCAAGTAATTAAATGTTAGATCGCGTAGTCTATGTGCTTAAAAAGCTACGGAATGTTCTATGTTACTGTTTAATGAATGAGGCTATGTTAGGGATCAAGGTGAGCAGGGAAAAGACGGTATTTCTTTGAACGTTTCCTGGATTTAATTAGAATCAGTGGAAACGACCGCGCTTAAGATAGCACATTACTTATTAAAAGAAGAACTGGAATGGCGATCATTATAAGATTACACAGCATGTGGGATGAGCGATAGCAATTTAAGGCATTTTTGGTTTTTTGTAGCTTTGCCAATTCCGCAGCAAGAATGAAGCCCATCAACCTGTCCTTCGCAGCCTGTGGGTTTCTTGGCATTTACCACTTGGGGGCGGCAGCTGCCTTGTGTAGGCACGGCAAGGAACTCCTGAAGAATGTCCAGGCTTTCGCAGGGGCCTCTGCAGGATCCTTGGTTGCTTCTGTCCTGCTAACCGCACCAGGAAAAATTGAGGTAATTAAGTAGTCACAAGGCTGTGTTCCTCATCAAGAGGCCAAGAGGGGGTGGCAAAATGAGTGGGGATGAGGCTTTGTCTGGGGAAAAAAAAGGTTAACACTTTTCTTTTACAATTAACTCTTTGGATATCAGGGCTCTGAGGGTATGGAAAGGGTTTATTTGGGGTAACATAAATAAAATACCTTATTTTACTCTGCAATAAAGCCCTGTTTCTTTTAGGCGAAGGATATTTGCTCTTCCGTTGATTGTGAGAACAGAACTGAGACCCTGTTTTTGAGACCTTGAGCAGGGGGGCTTTTGCTCACCCCTCATTTGCAAGCAGTCATACAAAGGAAACTGGCCTTAGGATTTCAATTAAGTGGCAAGATAGGGGAATTTAATTTGCTTTTAATTCTCACAGAGAGAAGCAGCTCCAAATTCCAGGAAGTTTAACCAAAAACGATAAAAATAGCCTTCAGCAGGTATTTTCATTAATGGGAGCTATGTTTTTCAGATGCTTTTTCAGCTGTCTAGACAGTGATCAAGCATTTGATCACAGTAAGAGCTGGTTTCTATGGATGGAGAAAATATTTGTTAATTACTTACACAGTCTAGTGGCTTTGAACAGTAATCAAATAGGGGTTTAACACAATCTTATTTTAACAGAATCATTTTGTAGTAAAATTTTACTGGTCCAATTCTGTCAAAGTCTGAACACATTTGTTTTTCTGTTTCTTACTTATTACCAGTCAATTACCTTTTCTCTAGCTTTTTAGACATTAAAAATTTTAACAAAATCCTTGAATTGATTTTCTTAGTAGTCTAAAATTTATTAAATCATTTTATGTATTTTACCACCTTAAAATGTTACACTTTAAAAACTAACTTTTCAAATAGCCTTCTTAAAATCTATTTGTTTTTAAAATCCATAAACACATATATATATATATATATGTATATATATATGTGTGTGTGTATATATATATATATATATATATGCATATATTTTTTTACATTTTAACCAGAAAGAAAAATACTTTTAAAGGCATTCCAAGGTTGTACATAATCAGTTGAGGGTTACAACATTAAACTAGACACGACAAAAACAAGGCCAACATTAAAGACACAAAAGTTTTTCTGTCCATGGTTTGGTGACCTAAAGGGAAATAAATTTTCATTATGACCCATAAGTCCAATAAGTCACATAGAACCTGCAAAATAGATCAAGAGAAAAAAGAAATCTGAATGTTAGTACTGAGGAAACAGATTCAAATGAACACATGGCTCCACAATAAAAATATACCAAGCACAAAACCAAATGGATAAAAAATCCCAAATCACAAATGGGCTAGAAGATGTTTCCTGCAGGGTGTCCCACTCTGGTGCAGAAGGAGCCAACCAAGCTCCTCTGCAACTTCAAATGTGTGCACTCAAACTACAAAGAACAAAGACTGAAATACTTACAGATGGCTCAAGCTCATTGATTGGTCAAAAATGTGGGGAAAGTTCCCTGTGTAATCCAGGAGAGCCAAAAATGTAATCCACCCAAAAAACAAGGCCCCATAATGAAAAATGGGGCAAGACCCCCAAGATGATAAACAAGTCAAGACATCTTTTTTAAAAGAAGTGTTTTTATTTTAGCCAGCCCAGTGACACAGTGCAGGTGGAATTTTCAAATCTGTGCAACTGAGTTAGAATTTTGACTGATTTTATAGTTCATTTATAATTAGTTCTTTGATCATTAAGTACATAATGATGAGAAACAGAAACAAGGTGGGCCTTCGTTTCACTTTGATTGAGGTCAAAGTAATTTTTCAGCGGGTTTTTAACCAATTCATAGCACTTGGTCTGCCAAATCCAGGAAAATTTGTTTTTCATAAAGAGAACAATGTGTGACACAGCATAATTTGTGTCTTACAAGGGAAACAAAAGTTGACATAGCACACAGGTTACTTGGGAGGGGCAACACATACAGAACAGCATAACGATGCAGTCAGCTAATATATAACTAGGTGGTTGGGGCTTGGATACTAGGGTAACACGCTCAGTACAGAATGACAATACTGCTAATAACTAACTTTTTAATGAAATATTTTTGCTAATTAGCTGTTAATCAATTATTTTAATTTTTGAGCATCTTAGAATCACAAGGACTCAGCCTAATGAAAGACACCTCAAGTGGAAAACAGACCCTCAAGGAAAGGTCATTGCAGAGATCCCTGTCAGGTCCTGGGATGTCTCATGCCCCATTGGCACTGTATCCGTGGCTAGTTTGTAGGCATTTCCATCTACAAATATTCAGCAATGAGCCTTCATAGAAAATCCTGTGGTTTCCATGCCTCCAAAAATCCACGCTTTTTAAATCTTGCCCTGCCCTTGTCCTGCCCTTGCCCTCTGTGCAACTAAGATCTCTATGGCAATGCCCAGTATTGTGACTCAGGTCTCCTCCTGTAATCATGTATCCTGGATCCTGGGGTCTAGCTCACCATGCTGCTCAGCCAATCACTGCCCAGCATGGTTGCCAGGCAATCATAAGTCTCCTGACTTGTGTTCACAGTTGGGACACAAATTTGCAGCTTACCACCTGACTCAATCACAGCCATTGCAATATTTTTCTTAACAATCCTAGGTTGTTTAGGAATTTAATTCCAGTTGTACTGATCAAAAGAACCTGACATACATTGTGAAGTGTGATGACATTCTTGCTCTGTCCTGATGTCAAAGGGGCCCAAACTTGAATCCTACAGTCCACTGATTTCTTTCAAACTGATGTAGATCAAATCTTTCATGAGAAAGATTGGAAATTCCATAGTAACTGGGCTTTGGCTCTGTTTTTGAGGGCTTGTACTGTAATCCTGAAAGTGCTACACACAGTCTGTCCTGGAGTATTGGTCCATGGTAGTATCAGTCAGCCCTTAAAGCTTAGCAATGACTGGAGAAGTCCTTAAGCCAAGGAAAACCCTGGCATTGCATGAATATTTTGAGTCCCTGCTTCATCTTTCCTGGTTTCATGTGGTTCACATTTCACAGAGTCCAATTTAGAAGAAGTCTGCAGCTGTGCCAGCAGAATGATGCACACAGTAGCCATGAAAGCCTTGCTCAATATACAAGCCAGCAAAATTCTAGAGAGCCCATGATCAGCAAGTTTTCTGAAACTACAAATGAATCTGGATGGAACAGAAATCCTTAGAAATGGGAATTCAAATCCACATTACTATCAATAACACAGATATATCTTTCAGGTATACAATGTTTTGTCCCACAACTCATGAAGGGATCCCAATTGCCTATCCCAAGATATTCTTTTTTTATTTAAAGGAAAAAAAAAGTATAAGTGTACAAGTAATACAGAATTACCAAAAAAAAGGGTAAGAAATCACTAGTTAGTAGATTACATACTGTTATCTTACAAATAGTTGTTCAAGTTACAGGATTAAAGCATACAAAGTGGACATTCAAACAGTGAGACTGCAAACAGTTGTGTTCAATGATCTAACAGAAACTCACTAATATGGTGATCTATCTTAACACAACTAAACACACTTGCAGTTGTATCCTTTAGAGCACTTTTTTCCTCTCTTTTTTAAAACAAAATTTACACATTTTGGATTTTATTACTCCCATAGTTCTTATTATTTTTTGGAAGAGAATAAAGGCAAATATGAAAAAACAAAGCAGTCAGTCAAAACAAAGATTAGAGATAGCACATGATGTAAGAACAGAATACAAGGTTATCAACAATGGATACCATGGTGCCTCTTGCTTCCTTAAAATGAATGCCTAGATATTCTTAGAAGACACGTGAAATGGCACATGTGATCAATCAGCAGTGTGTTTGCATCAAGTTTATTCCTATGCCCCTGCTTTATCTTGGCTAGTCTTGCGCAGGGCTCTCCATTTCTCTTTGGATGAGATACAAGGACCAGAGGCAAGTGTGTGGCATGGCTTCATAGTGTTTTTTTATGGGATGACAAAGCCCCAGATGAAAATCGTCCCAGGACACTGGGTCATAAAGACAGGATGAGGAATGACAGCAGGGGCATAAATGGGGACATTGAAGGGAGCTGATTGGCTCTGGGGGACACAAAGTATCAGGCTCTAGAATTCAGAATGCATCATCTGCACCTGCACCCACTTGAACAGTTTTGATAATCCACTTCTGGGCAATTGTGTGCTCTGAATTGGACTCAGCTGTTCATTGCTGCTTTCCTTTTATCACGGAGCAGAGAAAATTACAAGGTTTTTATGTGGATGGAGTGTTTTACCTAGGCAATAGGTGGTTCCCTTGCAAGGTTAGAAGCCAAAAATTCCTCCAGAGCCCATAGAGTTTGAAGCAAACTGACATGAAGTTTAGATATTTCATGTCCATTTCTCTTTGGGAAAGCTTTTTTCTACTATTTGGTAGGAATTGTTGTTACTTTTTAAGCTCAACCTGCACATGGCATCAAGGAAAATTCTACTTTCCTCACCCTGGTTGAAACCACACCCTGTGTCAGTTTGATTGCCATTCCTGGGTAGAACACTGAGAAAGGGACAGAACATTATCTCACTGCTTGAAATTCAGAGGACCTACATTGGAGTAACACTGAGAAACTCCAAGGAAAGTGTGCTGTCTTTTGACATCAAAAAGTCTGGGTGAACCCCTAGTTACTCAAAACCTTGGAAAGGCAATGGGTCCCTCCACAATGGAATTGGGAGCCCTCTGAAGCAGAGCTTGGGAGAAACAGGAACTACAAGGGAGGATTGAACACCACCAATGGAGTTGAAATTTCCATTGTCCAACCCAGAGAGACATTGGCTGCAGGCCTGAATATGTGAGTAGTTGATCAGCAGGTTAGCACACATCATAGGGAACCAAAAATTTTGTAGGGAGAAAGATATTTGCCCTGGATCTCAGAGTAGCCACAAACATTATTTGGTGTCAAAGGTGGTCAAAATTCCACTCAAAGGAAACAGATTTTTGCAGGTTCATTGACTGGAATGATAAAAGTTAAAACATTCCAAAGGTATGATAAAAA